GCCATTCTAATATACAATAGATTACTAAAAATAAGGTAAGCATGTGATGTTTTAGGCTCTTGGGAACGCATGAAATGTGGAAACAGGTGGAAAATTTTGATATTTCAAACATGAGGCTTTCTGATGAGCTGTCCAGGTGACAGGGTAGATGAACGTGGAGCAAAGCATGGGATGGACAGCATTGTGCAATCCACCTGACGGCTTTAGTGATGAAAGAAGGTGAGGAAATCTCCAGCAGGGCTCCAGACTAAAAAATCAATTAAGGAGCCAATGGCTCCTATAAGAAACAAAATTAGGCGCCAAATTATTATTTTTTAAGTGCCACAGAATAAACACGTTTTATTTATTTATTTATTAACACATTTCAGTCATAGATGTCCTGGGGACTAAGGTTCACTTAAAGTGGAAACTAAACATCTTTTCCAACTTGAGAACTGTGTACACAGAATCTGTGCCAATATCACAGACTATAACTATGTCAGCATCACTTGGCCATTGAGTGTAGTTTAGGCTCCTCCTCAATGCATCCTATAATGCATCCTATAAATGCTGTCATATGTCCTGCACACATCCAGTCTGTTTTTCTTCATTAGTAACATGCAGTTATATAGGAGATGTTGAATTTTACCTTTAGCTCCTTACATTCTTTCTTATCATGTAGACAACAGGTTAAGTAAAAATATGAATATGCAATATAGCGCATATATTTAGTAAAATGCTCCTCATTATAGTTATTTTTTCTAGCTGACTAATGGATGCCAAGTGGTTATTCTGAGGTAAATGATTGTTACATGGTATTGTTTACAAGCTTTACGATTAGTTTTCCACAGTTTGAAAAGACTGAATGAGTGATTACATGACACATTTCAGTTAGTTGTACTGTAGGCTATCTTATAATGTACCTTTTGATGTTCATTCATGTTTATTTCGTACTACAGTAGTAAAGAGAAGAATCTGATGGGTTCACGTGCCTGCATTAAAGAGCGCCAAAATGGTATTTATTGTTTGAATTTCATTTCGTCGGTTTTGGCATAATTTTAAAGCTGATACTTTGTTTATTAAAATGTAACAAAGCAGAAAGCTTATAGTGATTATTGGATGGCAAGTGCTCTACAGATATTAAATTCATGCATTAACAGAACACAGCATATGGACTAAAGATCTTGTTCTAGATAAAGAAGCCATATTAGTATCGATTATAAACGAGAATTGATATTGCTAATATCCACACAGATGATAGCTTTACCTGTTGTAGTTTGTTCAAGTTGTGCATGAAATAGACACTGCTTTTCTGCGTGCTTTACTTTGCACGTCTCCGTCATTTTCGATCTGCCACAACTGTTTTTCCACTAAGTCTTTGTGCATCGTCTCCGTTTATTACGTCAACGTAACAAAATATGAGATTGCAAAACAACCAGGAAAAAAGGGCATTACATGGAAAATGTAAAATCATAACACGTAAATTTATATAGTTGCCAGTGGCGATCTCAGCAAAACCTTGCATAAACCTTGCATAAATATTTTTGTTCAGAAATGTGACCGTTTTAGACGCAGTCTGGAGCCCTGTCCAGAGGGTTTGTTGTATATTTAATGTGGTTATATTCCAGCGTCAGCTCCTGCCGAACTCCAACCAGCTCAATGTCATGTCATTGGTGCCGCATTGATCGACATATGTGTGTGCGATTGAGCCAAAAAGTGTTTTACAATGGTGGAATGTGAAGTGCAGGATTGGCCTGAGACAGAGCTTTCACCCTCTTTCAGCCTGCTTTGTGAACGACACCTATTGTTAAAAGCAGATAATAAAGTTGAAAACTCTTACAGGAGAGTCTGTGTTTCATCACCTTTAGTGATGTTAAGTACTACTGATATTGGAAGTCACCTTATGAGCTTTTTTTCTGCACACAAATTGCCTCTGGATAGCATATTCCATTCCCCAAGGGGATAATAATATTGTTATGTATTGCATTATCATCAAATTAACAAGTACCATCATCTCTAGAGACCATATATGATGCTGAAAATGTACAGATAGCAGATTACAAATACATCGCTCTGTGTGTGTGTGTGTGTGTGTGTGTGTGTGTGTGTTTTCTTTAAATCTATTTGTGTGTAAAATCTTGTACAATTCTGTGAGAGTCCTATACAACATAAACATAGTGAAGTGATGCGACAGGCAATAACAGGTTGAAGCAAAAGCAAATATAATGGCTCAGTTCAACCTCCATATGACCCCAGTGCTTTGTAAATTCTACAAAAGCCCTGCATAAAACCATGAGGCATAAAAACCTTCTTTAAAAAATCTTAATTGCTTTCCAGAGAAAACATTTGCTACCACATTTCCAATTAAAATACATCCACAAACCATGGAGAATATATTTTTAAATGTAGCCTGTGGGTTGGTTTGCTTCATGGTCCTTGCATCATGGACACCCCCAATTTAAATAGAACCATTTTCAGTCCAAGCCATTCCTACTTGTTTTTAAGAAAATTTGTTGTGTTTTTATGTAAAATGTTTTATACAAACATTATAACAAATTAATAATAATAACAATAAAACAAATGTAAAAATGATTATAAAATAATTAAATAAAAAATAAAAGGATGTAATTGAAACGCATATTCATAATTATTATATAAAATATGCTGAAGACATGTCATTGTAATGGGATGTTGACAAAAAACAATATAAGACGTGGTAACACTTTATTTTAAGGTGTCCTTGTTACACATGTTACATGTACTTACTATTATAATAACAATGAATTATGCATAATTACATGCAAGTAACCCTATAAGCCAAACCCTAATCTTATCCCTAACCTTATAGTAAGTAATGCATAATTACACTGTAACAAGGACACCTTAAAATAAAGTGTAACTCAAGAGGTTTTACATTATTACTGTATTATTATGTAATTTATTGTGAAATTCTATAACTGATTCATTTAATTTGAGTTTTCAACTTGCTGCTCTTTTACACCTCTAGTTGTGTGCTTAGGTGAGGTCTCCCAGTGAATAATCACATGTTTGGTTGTGCTCATTAACAAGCATTTGAAAAGCAAAATGCAGTGATGTGTTTTGCATGGATATAAGTGAATTAACTCATTTGATTTGATTCGGCGTGCGGCTCAACGTTAATATAATGTGACATAATGAAGTGCAGAATGTCTGCCAATGCCCTTGAGGTGTTCAGGAAAGCTGCTCTCTTTAAACCTATTTCCTTTATCTGTGCACGCTCCTCTGTGCGGGAAGCAGCATTTCAAAATACATGCTTTATTTGATATGCTAATACATTAAATGCTGTTCAATTGATTTGTTCCTGATGAAAGCACAATAAAAATGGATTTGTGGAGCAAGATGGTGAACCTTCCTTTCTGTCTGTGCAGGAAGAGCACTCCCTTCACATTACAGTTGTTTGCTGATATAAAGAGGTGTTTAATCACTGTCCATTCAACATGCTAACAAGCTAACATTAAGCTGTGCCCAAAAATAAGGCAGCTGCCTCGCTTGCGTTTTTGTATAAAGATTCCTCCCAAGGAAATTCAAGTGAGCTTTAGACATACCCAAGCAAGTATTTTCTGAGTGCAACACTTATTTCTTGGAGGAAATGGAATCAACCACTTCATTAGATGGCACCAACCGCTGACTTGCATGCATTGTGGGATATCACAGGCAGTAAAGGATACATTATGCTGCCTTCAAAAGCCAACCAGATGAAGGCAATGCAAATATATGGATTCGGACATGCCTTCCTACTTTCCTAGCTTTCAGACACTGCTAGCAAATTGAGATCACATGCAATCGGTCTGTAAATAAAGTTGATATTGCCCATCATTCATTGGTTCCTTGATCGTAGAGAAAAATTATCTTCAATTGTAATGTGCTTCTGCTTTATTTGATCACCATGTTGATCATCTACCACGATCAGTATTGCACATTCTATAAAATATGGCTTAATTTACACATGGTGTAGCAATATTGCAGCACATTTGGTGCCTGCTTAAACTGAATTGCAGGTGGTTATTGAATAAGATGCAGGGGTTTGCACCGAAATGCTACATGTTAAAGTCGCACAGCTGTTTAGTGAATCCCCTCTTATCTCTCTCGCCCACTCTCCCCTTCTCTATTTCAGTCTCTCGTTTTCCCTCACATACGCACGCACACACAGTGCCACACATGTTAACACCAGCCCTGCAATTTGAGGCCTCCCCTCTAGAGATGTCAGGTTGTCAAAGCTAACCATACAATGTCGGAGTGAAGACGGGAAGCAATCCAGATAAAACATTTAACCTCTATGTATCAGAGAATTCATTTCCCTGTTAGCAGCGCTAATAATGGCTAACAACATGTAGATTAACATTGGCTCAGTCATGTTTCTCTATCCCCTGCTAGAAAATCTGGTTAGGAATTCTGGTTAATAATAATACGCAATAATGTGTTTGAGCACAAATATTGGTCAACACACTATTAATACAGCATTCTACATTAGCTTTTATTATTTTATAATGGAGCGTGTTTTTCTTGAGATGTCCTTCAGAAGAAGAATGCTGCCATTTCTACTATTCTTCAAGTTTTATTTCTTTATGATTAACGTTTGTTCAAATTACAAAAAAAAAAAAAAAATTATGAAGAAAATGTGAGTGGCTGTGTTTGCAGTTGCCAAAGTATTTGGAGTATTTTAGTGCATTGCTATGCACTTGCAGGGGTTTTACAGTCCAAAGAGATCACCCCTCCATGATATTCTGGTTTCAAGATATCCATGGGATTTTTTCACTTATTTTTTCACATCTACCAGGCAAAAAGTCAGATTGCTCGAAAAATGAACAGTACACCTCTCCTCAGCGAGCTGCACAGTGTGAGGTATCATTCAAGTCCATTGCAAAAACAGTGTGAGACCAATTATGAAGTTAAAATGCATGAGTTTGTTTGACAAGAGCCTTAAGAAGGATCCTCAGGTGCTGCAGGTTCTCTTAATGCTATGTGTCCTCACTCTGTTACAGGGTTCCTCAGCACAGGAGACCAGGCTGCTAAGGGAAATTATGGGCTTTTGGATCAGATCCAGGCTCTACGTTGGATAAGCGAGAACATTGGCTATTTCGGCGGTGATTCCAATCGCATCACTGTTTTTGGATCAGGAATTGGTGCCTCTTGTGTGAGCCTTCTGACCCTGTCCCATCATTCTGAAGGTAGGAGAACATTTCATTCCACAGAAGAATAAGAAAATCCTTGTCAAATTAAATTCCCTTTAATACTCAACTTTGCATAATAATCTTTGCATCATAATGTAAAGGATTGGGAAAAAGTAATATTGCAAGTTAAATACTTGAGCTCTTTCCAAGGATAACTGTCAATTAGCATGAAAAATCATGTTGATTTATCACTTAGTTTGTAAAAATGAATGAAAAAATCCATTAACAGTAAATAAATTACTAATATGTTGCCATATCATTTCCAGTATATAGTTAGATTGTTATAAATACTTATTTTAAAAAGTATTGACAGTAGACATTCATAGATTAATTATCGCAATATAATTAATAACTATAATATAAAGATTAACAATATAAAGAATAACTATAACACTTTAACCCATATCATAAACATGTAAACTCAATAAACCTAGTTACTTGTGCAGAAGGAAACAGACAGGGACATGGACGAGACATGATCTAACAGTCCATTTACATCGAAATAACTGCATCCACTGTACTCACAAGAGTAACCAGAAGTACTTTTTTTTCATTTATTCTATTTTGCAAACTAAGGCAAGAGTCGAAATTACCTTGTAATCAACATGTGCTGTCAAAAAGTTATATTTAATTCCTATGATTGTTATTAGTGGTTCCACACAACCAGTATGCACAAAAGTGTTGTCTTTACTTATTTATGGTTGACTAAACTGTTTAGCATGTGTGCTATAAATTCATGGTGGACAATATAAATGAAAGACATGTTGCAGATGTGCTGATTTTCTGTCGACAACCTGTTTGTGATTTTGCATAAAACACCAAAGTGCTTTTAATTGATGCCAGCGATGATGGACCTAAATCCAGCAGTGAATTGCAAACAAAGTGTGTAAATTAACATGCATAGTTATGTATTTATGCAGCGATAAAGAGACAGCAGTTTTCCACAGGACTTACCAAGGTTACATTTATCATCTTAGCAGTTGTACATTATTGTAGCAGACTCTAGATGTAAATCTAAAACACATTCCCAAGAGGCTTTTCTGAGATGTGAGACATAATTATAGAAATGTCAGTTGGCTTTGTGGGTTTCCATGTCATCCAATTGACTGTTGAACTTAAATATGTTGAATCATAAAATTTAAAAAGACAAATGTTAACTGCAACTATCAACTCCTTTGAGATAAATATGTATATAATATAAAAGCAACACATACATTATAAAGATTCTAGATATATTTGAAGCTGTGACATTGTACATGTTGAGATACAAGAAGTTGATATTGTATCAGGCAGGCTGTGGGAGACTATTGTAAAGGAAGCCACTGTAATTCTTTGACTGTCATGATAGATAGATAGATAGATAGATAATATATATAGATAGATAATTTTCAGATAAGGTCTTAGACTGTTTCTACACTTTGCTTCCTGCCATGAATAATTTTGCATGTTTGTTTGCATTCTCCATATTGCATCAATGCCTTATTAATTGCTTTGATTTACTTTGGTTTTGGATAGATTTATTTTACCATAAATGCATTTTCTATTCAAATATTCCATATTGCTAAGCTTCATGTAGCATGTTATTATACAGTCAACCGCCTCATTCCTTTCTCAGTAAATTGCATATTACTGATGCTGATGTTTCCCCTGAATAGAAGTATTTTTCCTACTTGGTTTGATGAGATAAAAAAGCAGTATTGGGGGAGCTGGGTTTTACTGACAGCCTCTATAAACTATCAAGATCCTTGAAAATTGAAACAGGAATCCTGCTATTGAAGAAAGGGGTACTCACCACAACTACCACCAATATCAATCAGCTAGCTCTGCAATAGTTCTCAAAGTTGTGATTTTAGCCATCACAGCAAAGGAGAGGAAAAGGATTACCAAATGATAATGGCGAGGCTTAGAGGAATGCAGCAGTAAAGAATCCAACTACTCTTTTATAAAAACTAGATGTCATCACAACTTGCAGATTGAGAAATATAGTTGCTATATAGTGCTTATATTAGCACAAGTACTACAGTTTAAACTAAGGCATGATATTTGGGAGACAACTGAAGAAACATGTTCAACAAAGTGCTTGTGTACCATTAGTGAGAAAGATGTCCAGGCCAGGTCCATGTACACTCTGGAGATGATGTTTGAAGGGTTTCAACTTATTTTTGGTTGAGAAGCTGGTAAGCAAATGTATGTAACAATGTGTTAATCTGCAAATGAACACATCATTGTACCTAATTTTAAGAAACATCTTAGCAACATTCTCACAGATCATGCAAAAGAAAAAAAGAAAATTTCTCTGCAAGATAGGTGTGCTGTCTGAAAATTGCTTGTTCTGCTAATTGGCAGAAGACACAATTGCCCTTTGAATAGAGGAAAGAACATCTTCTGATGAAACGGATTTCATGCACTGTCCAGCTATTGGACAGGACAAATCTGAATCCCACCGACAGTGCAAGAGCCATTCACATTTCCCCTGACCCTGATCCCTGGGAAAACACAATTACCTGAATCCCATCACCTGAAATACCAAAGGGCCGGTTTAAAAAAAACACTTCAGTGCAGAGTGTGAGATTGAGTGTGATGTTTGTTTGGCAAGTGTGTGAACATGCAGATTTGCCTTTTTCTTTCTCTCTCCTAATAATAATTATGATGTCAAATGAGAGATGGCTTCACTGGGCTGCTGCTGGAATATTAAACAACTGGAGCTTTGGCTGTGTGTGTGTATTGGAAGGATGTTGGAGGCCTACCAGCAGTGTTACTGAAGGTCATCGGGAGTCCTTTTTTTCTATTCCTGTAACTAATCAGCCTAAAAGCTCTGCTTGCGAGGACATGCTCCCCTTTTAATGGAGCGTCTCATACATTAAAGGGGACTCGTGAGGGGCTACGTTGGAGGATTCCTTCTACCCATGTCAGCTCTCATTTTTATGAAGACTTTTGGGTTATTGAGGACCATAAATATGCACACTCAAATTGTGTTAGTTTTATTAGCGGGATGGTATTCATGGTGGTAACTTTGTGATGTACGACTTTCAAGCGTTAACACTTTGAGCTACAAAACTGTGCATGAGTAAGAGGCACTTGAGTCTAATGAACTAAATGAGATGATGGTTTGACAAAGACTGCATTGAACAAATACACATCAGAAGTAGTGACACAACATGTTAGCGAATGAAGAGATATTTTCTGTGACATTACGGTTAAAATAATGCACTGATAAGTCCTAGCCAGTCGACATGTGACGTCATAGCTTTTCTTTATGACTGAATATGGTCCAGTTTTAATTGAAGCCATAATATTGCTACACTTAAAGTGACAGTGTCTCATATAGTGAATAAAGGCTCTGAAAAGGAATCAATCTACTTTATGACTTTAATTCAAGTTAAGCAAGTCCATTTGCTTTTAGTGTACTGAAAGCACTTAGTTTAACTGAACATCATTCTCTGGCTATCCTCAATCACTCCACACAATGTTTTTACACGTCACAACAGTCATTCACGCCTACGCTCTTCTACTGGAATTGAGAGTTGGTGCCTAACTTCTTAAATAATTATATTTGTAATTTTTTAGGGTTTTAAAAAAGCATTGACAAAGCTTAAATACTGGGTGTTGTGGAGATGGTGTTCTTTTTGTGCAGAACAGGTTCTGAATAATTTCATTTATTTTGGAGAACTAATATTTCAAGTCAAGTCAAGTCACCTTTATTTATATAGCGCTTTTAACAATACAGATTGTGTCAAAGCAACTGTACAGCATTAATTAGGAAAATAGTGTGTCAATAATGCAAAATGACAATAGTAAACACTCATTTTTCAGTTAAAGGCAGTTCATCATTGAATTCAGTGATGTCATCATCCAGCTCAGTTCAGTTTAAATAGTATCTGTGCAATCAAGTCAACGATATCGCTGGAAATGAAGTGTCCCCAACTAAGCAAGCCAGAGGTGACAGTGGCAAGGAACCAAAACTCCATCGGTGACAGAATGGATAAAAAACCTTGGGAGAAACCAGGCTCAGTCGGGAGGCCAGTTCTCCTCTGGCCAGACAAAACCAGCATGGCG